TATATATATATATATATATATATATATAGGTACAAGTTAGAGGTATGAGTTCTTTTGTACTTTTTATAGCTTACTATTACGAAAGAAACAATATAATGGCAGAGAGAACGGTAAAAAATGAAAGTTATTCAGGCCTATATGAATGGAAATGTTATCGATTCTAAAACATGCCGAATCACATACTGTTTAATAAATTATATTATTATCATGTATACCAAGTTCCTGTGAAACTAAATGCTTCTAAGAATAAGAAATAACGTAAACTGAGTACGAATCTAGAAATTATCCTCACGTTCTTAGGAAGCTAAGAAAATAGAACTTACCCAAGGCTATGTCTTCTTGTTTTTCTTATTGAGAGCTAAATAATAAACTAGAAGTAGCGACAAAACGTATGCATATAGGTGGGCTCTCCTTTTCTCATTCTATTTAACCAGTTAAACAAGATAATCCATCGATAACACGGAAATAAAACATTTTTAAAATGTTAATTTCTACAGTATGAAATAGTTAGTACAGTGAAGATGGCTAGAAATAAAAACAATATATTTACTGTTATTAAAGGAGATATCAAACGAGTAATATTTCATGTTTCTCCGTTGTTTTCAAATAGGTAAAACTAGTTCCGTTATTTCTGGAATAACAGTGAATATATGTGCCTGTAATTTGCAATTCAATGTTCAGTAGAATTGTTAAACTTATTATAAACTATCCACAAAAATCAATGAAATTTCTTTAAACATCTTACATGTTTACATCATTTATGATATAATATTCATAATTGTTTATTCTCATAGATATTTATATCATTGTTCCTAAAACTAATTATCGTTTTCAAAGTTCCTCATTTGTGCAACATAACTGAAAAGTTATAACTTTAATGTAGAACATATAATACATTGTTTTCACCATAATTAAATTCGTGTAGATTTACTTCTAACCACGAAACAAGTATAAAGAGCAAAGTAAAATGTATGCTGAGTTTCATACAGGCTTAACTAATAACATTAGCCCCTATAAAAGATAATTAAAACATAGAAAGGTATTAGAAATTTGTCTAAAAGAGAACACATATGAAATACAAAACTTACGTATCCATCTCAACATGTTCATCCATATTCAGTCTTTAATTATATAGATTTACCAGTTCTCAATAGTTTAGTAAAAATCTCTTAGGCTTGTAATTAGCTTATCTACGATTTCTGTTTGGTTAAGCTTACCTTTAAAAATGCTGTAGGTAATCAAAACATTGGAAGAAAATGTGACGTTAAAATTGAAGAATAAATATGGACTAGAGGAAACTATAACAGAATCTATAGACCTGGCTCAAGCAAAGGTGGGTGTCTTTCAGTATCAATAAACGTATTGTTCTATACAGTTAAATACTAATAGGATTTAATTTAATCATTCTTTGATATATTGTTTAGGCAGGACATTCATGATGAAATTTGGTTGAATGGACGGCAACTGCCTCTTGTAGAAACACAAATATAGAGGACGACGTTTCGAAAGTCTTCCGCCTTCCATCTTCAGGTCCTAAAGAAAGGCGGAAGACTTTCGAAACGTCGTTCTCTGGATTTGTGTTTCTACAACAGACAGTTGCCGTCCATTCAACCAAATTTAATCATAAAGTGATCGTCTTTTACGTTACATCATTTTGGAATGTTTACTTTAAAATTGCAAATCAACTTGAATATAAAATCTATATTTAAGGAATTTTGGTTTCAACAATAATTTAGTTGATTTCGCTCTACCAATACTTATTATATTCTGATATTGTTGAAAACAGATTTTCTTTGGTCTTTTTTGGACAACAGTAGATGTTGTCCAAGCCTATGTGTTATAATATGTCATGTTTGTTGAAAAGTATATATATTAATTATGAATAATTTATCCTCACAGTAAGCTACCTACATAAATCAGGACTAAAATTTAGCCCAGTAATTAATGCAACCAATTTAATAAACCGTACTAACTAGGAATATGCAATGTCATAAAACAAACTTATAATGATTCACAAAGAAAAGGACAGAAGATTTAAAGGTAGAGATTTTTACCTCCCTTAAAGTGCAAACTCTGATAGAAAAATATAGCTAAAACCCAAACTGATCAAATGTAACGAACTTATCTCTTTAGATAACAAAATTGTAAAGTAAAAGTTTAATTATATAAAACAGTAAAATATAAAATTTGAAGTGAATTCACATCACTGGAAAAAAACAACAACATGTAAACTAATTTAAAGAAATCGTGCTTGAAATTAATTCATTTATAATATTTCTACTAAACTTTCACTTTGGTTATAAGGCTTGTATCATACGAATACTATGTTTAATAGTCCGTGGAAGTTTATGATTGGATAAAAAGAAAATATTTACTCTCCAATAAATAAGCTTTCTGTGACTTACTACTATGAAGGAAACTATCAAATGGCAGGAAGAACAATATCAACCTTCTCATCGTATTGTTAACCGCTTGATTTCTATTGTTAGCAGAAAACAGTTTATGGATTACAGATAACATCGATTTGATTTTAAATAAGGTTGGGCAGCTTATTACATCATATTTTATACTTTAATTTCAATATAATTAAGAAATTCTGCATACGTTATTTGCCCAAGGTGTTACAAATTACAAAATTACAAACTTATTTGTAACAAAATAAAGTTATGAGTCAGAAAGAATGTTGTCAAGCGCTGTTTTTCCACATCGTTCTCCTGAAAGATAGCATGTATTTGGAAATAAAAAGAAAATATCTTTATCACGGATGCATAAAATGAGCGTTTTTTTTTGTCCTTTTCTCGAGAATATGTATTTTTTATCTTTGCTTTCCAACTTTTTGTTAAGATTGTATATATATATATATGTGTTAAAGATATCTTTTCTTTTTCACCTAAGGTGAAACTGAAAAGAGAAGCTGTGACGGAAAGGCCTAATGCATTCTTTGATTTGCCGTACCTTCTGCTGTGGACTACAGTTCAGCATATTCAAGGCTTATCAGCACAGCTTGGGTCAGCAAACCAAAGAAATACCATTAGGCCTATTATAATGGTGAAGAGTACATAATATCTATGGGATTTTGGGGGATGTAAAATGGACTCAAAACCCCATAGATATTTTTGTAAGATTTGTTTTTCAACTTTAGCTTGAAATCAAAGCTTTTATTTGAGATATTTCTTGGATTTTTATTCTACATAAATAGGACTCCCAGTGAATCAATGGTACGTTTATAGACTTCCACGCTAAAATCTGGGTTTCGATTCTTCGCGGTGAACAGAGCGCAGATAGTCCAGTACGTAGCTTTGCGCTAAAAACAACCACCACCTTTAAGGAACGTATACTAAGACTACATTTTAAATTTTTACAAAAAGAATTTCTAGAATCATATGGTACTCTTATAACAAAAAAAAAGGAAAACAATACTTAAATCTTGTGATTATTTCCCTTTTCCCCCCTTATTTATGCATACTTAGAGGATGTCTAAGCTTCCGTGAAACCAGTTTATTAAATTGTATAAATTATTATCTGCTCATTTGCTCTAATTACTAACAATGGTTTATAGATGCCGTATTATTCACTCTTCGGAACTAATGAATGCTATATTAAGTTTACAGCATGCAAACATAAATCCCAATAATAAATGAATGTGAGATAGATTTAAGTTTAAAGTTGCTATTTATTTGAAAACATACGAGATTATAATTGGATACATATGTGCTAAGAAATTAAATGTTTTAGCAAAAAGTCTTTTATCTCATTTTCTTGGAAAAAAGAATTGTCCAGTATAAAATGAATTAAAGATAATGATGAGGATACAGCCATCACAACTTATAAATTTACATCAAACTACAAAGTCCGTGTGAATTAGTTTCATATGTGATAAAAGAGATGCAACTCCTATAATCATTTTACGATCATTAATCTTGTCATTTTTATCATGCTGAAGCAATAGCAGTTTGCTAAAACCACGTGTTTGCTTTCTAAATAGAAACATTTTAAACTTCTTATAAATTGCATCTCTTGTGTATATGAACTTGTATGCATTTTTCACCTGTCTGCAAAAAATGATTTATATCCCACGTATTGCAGCAAAAACACACCATATTACCAATTAAATTATACCATTATCTATATTGAAACATGAACCATTTAATACTTAAAAATATCTCGATGGTTTTTAAAACAAGAAGTATTAATAAAATATTTTAGTATAAAATGAAACTCACAAAAATGCTATTACTAAATCGATTGCGTTGAGCTATTTCGTTGGTTGAAATCTGTCAATTGTCGTCAAACAACAGAATATTTGCTTAGTTGTTAATTTTTTCTTCACAAAAACGTGAATTTCAATTAAGAAAAGAAGACGTAGATGCCTAATCTGATTTATTCGATACTTCCGCTGCAACAATTAGTTTCGCTAAATTCACAATTCATCAGTACTGCTTGGAAGAGCAAAACAAGTATATATGGTATGCCTCATATAGTGGTGGACTGTAAGCAACGTGATTGGTTTGATGTATAATTCTTTACTCAACATTAATAACGCTTATATATAGTTTACTTTACTTGTTTATATAATGAACGCCTTTAGTTAACAATTGGGTTTTGATTAAACAAGGGGCTATACAAAGAAATTATTATTTTGATGTTACGATACTTCGTGATGTTTCGTTATGTACTTTTAAGTTATCATATATTATTAGTAAAAATGGTGACATGTCACACTGAATGAGACTAATGTTTTCGAAACGGTTTATTTCACATTCACATTAGCTGCTTACTGTGTTGTAAGATTAAGAAATGGTTAAACAGATTACTCCTTTTCTTTCACAAGACACGCAAAAGCTTTTCCTTGGTTCTTTTTAATTAGTGATTAATATTATATTACATGAAGCATGAAATAATATATTTTTCAAATGATTATATATATATATATATACACACACATGTTCTGACGTGAAGAAAGTTATCTTTGTCGAGGCTTCACAGATGGTAGCATACAAATTTTACTCGCGTCAGTCCTACAGTAATTAAACAAATTTCAGATGATCAAAACGAAACAGCACATTATAACTTCCGGGTTATTCAGGTTTAATTTTGTTAATCTTCAGGGTTGCCTAGCAACAAAACTGGCAAATGTGGTGAATAGTAATACTCCACGTCACTGGTTTTACTATGTGTGAAAATAAACGAAAAACTTCATTTCCAAACGACAGAATGATGATCGTGAAGTTTAATAGTGGAATTTTAAAATTATATTTTACTGACATCTCGACAGACTTGGTACAGAAACAAGGACGTTTCTTTGTTATTATTCAGAAATTAGACGCTAAAAATGAAATGAATAACAAATCCATAGTAGAGTTTGTTTGTTTGTAATTAAGCACAAAGCTACACAATGGGCTACCTGTGCTTTGCCCACCACAGGTATCGAAACCAGGATTCTAGCGTTGCAAGTCCGCAGACATACCACTGTGCCACTGGGGGGCCCATAATAAAGAGAAAACATCTATTAGTAATGTTACAGAGAGCCTTCAAAAGATCTTTTTTTTTCGTGTTTTTATTTTTCATCAGAATTTGTTCTGCATCATTGAACAGTTAAGAAAAGAAATTTATGTAAAAATTACCGACAACTCTCAAACACTGATCGGCCCTGTGTTAAGGCTGTAAAGCTCAATATTTCGGAACTGGCGAACCGGGTTCGAATTCGACCGATTCCACGAAATATTCCTCGTACTTTAAGCTATAGGTGCGTTGTAATAGTGACAGTCGATCCCATAGCTTTGAAATCGCTGTGGTCACTACTTAAAAGTTAGGAATGGAGGCAGATAGCCTTAGTAGATAATACAACAAGATACAAATATAGATTACTGAGTGAAGTGTGCCGAAAGATGCCTATAATTGACTCATCTCACATATTCAAAATTTACTTACTAATACTGTTACTATGCTTAGTGCTACAAGTACAGTTCTAAGTGTGTGCAAAAACTGACTTAAAGACAACATTGTTTATTGTACTGAATCAAATCTTAGTCTACAATCATATAAGCTTGTGAATGTGCCGAATACAAGAGGAATTTGTCCATGTATTGATGAGTTTTCAATTAGTTGTAAGAAGGCTTTGTGTTTTTATTTTTCGGTGATTGGAACGCACTACCTTAATTTTATGAAGCACTGAACGCGCTTTATGAAACGCAACAAGACATTTCGCATTCAAAATATATGACAAAACCAAATGTTAAATAAGATACTGCAATTGTTCTCAATTAGAAAATGGGAATGCCAAACACAGCAAAATAATATTGGTATTAGCTTACTTATATCTTCGATAATACTGAGTATAATTAGTAAACTATATTTAATCCATCATTTGTAATGTTGAAGTGAACATTGGTTGCGTTTAATTGCAAAAACTGAAACTAAAAAGGACTGCTATATAACTTGCTCTATATGTAACTTTGAGAATATAACAAATGTTGTTGTTATTGTTTTAACGCAAAGCTATACAATGGGCTATCTGAGTTGTGCCCACCAAAAAGAATCGAACAACGGATTTTAGCGTTCTAAATCCGTAAATTTACCGCTGATCCATCAGGAGGCATAACTAATGAAACATGAATTAACTGAATAGAACGAAAACTAAATATTTTAAAAGCCCACAAATCACCTGATAACCGACTTTTACTTGCCGTCTTTGCAACTTAAACTTAATGTTGCTGAAATGTATTATATTTCTTTATTTCTTTTTACTGAGAGACGCAGAATTTACAACACAGTGATAGTTGAATTTTAAACAATAAACATAATAAAGCACCCTGAAACCTCAAGTAGATACATAATATAGCATCTTGAAAACTCAAGTAGATATATAATATAGCACCTTGAAAACTCAAGTAGATATATAATATAGCATCTTGAAAACTCAAGTAGATATATAATATAGCACCTTGAAAACTCAAGTAGATATATAATATAGCATCTTGAAAACTCAAGTAGATATATAATATAGCACCTTGAAAACTCAAGTAGATATCTACATATGACGGTAAAAAGCTATTAGATAAGTGATCGCTGCACCTTGTGCTCTCAGCACTGCTATTTTTTGCTGTTGTCTATAGAAAAGTACCAGGAGATCCTAGCTTATAAGAACGTTCGGTGCCTTTGGGTTGTTCGTTCAAGGTACACTTTCACAAGCTAAACACTCTTAGTTTCGAAGTATCTTTTGGTTTTACAAGTATTAACATTATACAAAACAGATTACGGTTCTAATACTTACACACACAAACACATATGTATTTGTTATTTACTGTGTAGTATTTTGTACATAATTAACTTTTTTGTTGGAATAACGTAAAATTGTCAAAGTAAAATTTACGTCCATTCTAGGCTTTGTTTGGGTGTTGTTAAGCGTAAAGCTACACAATGAGTTATCTGTGCTGTTCTCATCACGAGTACAGAAACCCAGTTTTTAGCGGTATGAGCCCTCAGGCTTACCACTGAGCCACTGTGGGGAAGTCCATTCTAAGATATATCAAACCAGTTATTATTCAGATTATGACAAGTATTAAATAGGATATAATATCTTTGTTGATACCTACAGCTCTTTCGGACTTGTATTGTCAGTATAATCAGTTCGAGCACCTGAAGTTCGTTACTTTGGAACATAGTTGGAATTTTGGAAGAAATAGATTTAATCTTTAAAACATTATACCCAAATTTGTACACGATCTTTATAAAAGTAAAATATAAATTCAGAACAGAATAGACACTCCAGAACTGTGTATACTGCTAATATTGGTTTTACAGATACTTTTAAAGACATCTGTAGATGAGCATCTTCTTATGGCACATTGAGATTAAAGAACATTAATATCTTACCTGCACGACTGAATAGAGTTCTTATGGGAAAGTAGATTTAAATCTTATTTTTTATTCAAAATTATATATTGCTTCTTTCGTAACTATGGCATTCTATTCTTTTGTACTTGCCTAGTATGTGAATTAACAATAATATGTTTCCTTGTGTTTCTCTCATGAAAGTTTGATTGTTGCGGTGTCAAAGAAGCCTTGGATTACGATAAAAGCAAATGGAAGCTTGACAACCTTGGCCAGGGCGACAACGTCAGTAAGACTTGTTGTGTCTTGAAGAATCACGAAGACGACGACGCTTTCAAGAATCCAATACCTTTAAACGGAACTCTGTGTCAATCCCAAGATTCAAAGCAGAACACGAATTTCCGTCACCAGAAGGTATAAATTTATACAATGACTATCAATTAATATTATATGTAAATTCTAAAAATTGAATTTTAAATTATTCTTGATGCAACATCTGATGAGATGTGACACATCATTTTCTAAAGTTGTGTTAAAAAATAAAAATAAAATGTTATATGAGGATAATTATAACCGAATTTAAAGTGATTACAGTTTTCACTAACGTGTAATATTTTTCTTTATATTTGACCAATATGAAACAGACAAACAGATCTTAAAGCGAAGTCAGTAATTCTCGTAGTTTTTTACAAATCCTTCTTACACGTTTCACTCTACCAAGGAAGAGATATATACGTGAAACCAGGAAACATATTAAAGGCCATGTGGTTATATAGATAGAAGCAGGATCAAACAGTAACAGTTGCCTCATCACATCAACTATCTCAAAAACTTTTTAAATAAAGCAGAGAACCTCGTACCTAAAAACGTATACAGGTTAAAAAACGAGAAATAAAAAAAAGAGTTTGCTTATTTGTTTCTTTCTAAGCACAACGCTACACAACAACATAAACATCGCTATGTAGATGTAACATAGTAATGTATGTCAATGTTTATTTTTGAAACCTCATTTTTAGCTGTTTTAGCATTTCGATTGCTCAGAAATTTCATTATTTCTGTGCATCTAATGCTTGTCCATAATTAATGATATTCGAAAACTTTAGAGCTTATACTTTCAAGATCAATTCTTGAAAATATCTAAAGTGTATCATGTCATTTAAAAATGTAATTACCTAACTTAATTCGAGCCTAACATTTCAAACATCCTGCACGATTACAGCCTATTTCATCTTCACAAATTTCCATCGATCTTTTAATTCGCTATCAAGAAGTCTTTGAACACCATATATTGTATATTCTAGTGACATTTTAAGCTCACATATGTCAGAGCTAAAATCAGATTAATTTGGAACAAATCCACTCTTAAATAACAAACTCAGCTGGAAATGAAGTATTCACATCGATTTTCACAGCCCAAACAGCCATTGGATAAATAAATTTGGTTTTTGTTGGAGCAAAATCAAATAAATGAAAATAGTTCTGCCTGAAGGTTTTTGCGCTATTCTTTCTTTAATTATGAAACTTCATTTCCAAAAGGTTGTTTTATGGTTTCTTCGTTAGTCTCCCATCTGTAATCATAACATTTTCATTCTCATATGATGTAAAACTTTTCTTGTACACTGTATTTACATTGTTGAATAATTCGTTCAGAACTATCAACACCTTCGTGAATGTAATTTACGTTGTTTAAACTTCGTAACAGGACTTCGAATATTAACTGAAATAATATAATCCTTGTTACATTGGTAGATATTATGGTTATCTTAGAAAACTTTATAAAAGCAACAGTAATACAGATATTTCAATATAAACCTAAAAGTGTATTAAAATAATAATTAAGCCTCTGTAACCCTTTCAACAAGAGCATAATTATGATTGATGAATACCGAGAACACTTTCTGTGAGAACATGTAATGAGGCTGTGGCCCACATAAAAAGGATTTGACTAGTAATATACTTCATTTAATTAGAATATATATTTACTTTATTTTTTTTATATTTTACATAGCAAGGGTTTTAATATTGATAAAACTTGAAAGTCAAACAACGTGTTTCACAAAATCTCAAGCTTAATAATGTATAGGACTGAACTGGATAATATATACGTACATTGGCTGGCCACTTTATTAGTACATCCAAATAATATCAAGTTTGACTATCATTTGCCTAATTAATATGTTAGGCTCGGCGTGGCCTGGACTCCACAAAATGGTAGAAGGTCTATTGTTCAATTGTACCCCAGTTTGTCATGGAACATAGTCAGTAACTGGCGCACATATGTTAAGAGAGAATGACGAATTCTCGGTTACATTGCAAATGTATTCAATATGACTGTGATTAGTGTTTTTGCTGGTCAAATAAGATGACAGAAGCTATGGTTATTCTCGTTGAACCATTTTCAAACAATACGAATGCATTGGTTTGTTTCATTATTATTTTAGAAAAGAGTAGGCTCAACATCTGCCATGAGAACGTTTTTTACACCATTTCTCCACCTCAGGCAGCTTGCACTTTTAGGATAACAAAATCACACATCTTTTGTAGTTTTCGATAATTCTATTCTAAAATCAGCACAGAAAAGCACCCAGTGAGACTAATTAAACCACATCACTCGCTTCAAGTCACATATTGTCTAAAGTTTGCCCTCCAACAATCCGCCCGGCATGCCCAGGTGGCTAGGGCGCTCGACTCGCAATCTCAGGGTCGCGGGTTTGAATCACAGCAAACATACTCGCCATTTCAGACGTAGGGGCGTTATAATGTGACGGTCAATCCCACTATTTGTTGGTAAAAAAGTAGGCCAAGAGTTGGCGGTGGGTGGTGATGACTAGCTGCCTTCCCTCTAGTCTTACACTGCTAAAGTAGGGACGGCTAGCGCAGATGGCCCTCGTGTAGCTTTGCGCGAAATTCAAAAACAACAAAAAACCAAGAACCGGCGAATTCGTGCTTTCCTATTTTAATCTCAAATGAGCAGCTTTGTTTGTTAAAATTCGCGCAAAACTACTCGAGGGCTATCTACGCTGGCCTCCCCTAATTTTGAAGTTGCAGACTAAAGTGAAGATAGTTAGACTACTGTAATCGAATAATGGAACCTAAATGTCTCTCTTATAACACACCAAATTGCGGAGAACAAATTTTGTTATTTTCTTGTTTGGTAGTAAAGGAGTGCAATCTATGGAACCTCAGATCCACAAGTCCGGCATATTAACCACTGGGCTGCACATTTCTCAGAGAGGGTTTAGGTACCATACAACAATCTTTGTAATATGTTTGGATGATACGATTGAAGATAGTTAAGTTCTCTTCAGTTGTAAAACGTCAGTTAGTTGAGATAAAGACTGATATCTGTTATATTTTACAAGCCTATCCAGTTGCCTCTTCCTTCAATCAGCCACCAACGGTTGGCAATCACAGTTTTCCTACAGTGACAGACGTAGCCTCTATTAATTGGTGCTGTGAACAGAAAAACTGTGAAGGAAACGAAATTTGATTAAAGACGCTCCTTCTAGGCGAGAATCCGCTATCACTCCCCTTTGAATTCAGAAAGGTCCTTGCTCTTATCCATTGTCTTATAGATTCACCATTTACATGGCTCAAGTAATTACCTAATGCGTCACATGAATTGTCTACTTTACATATGTAAATAAACGGAGTGTCTCACAAATGTGTGGTCAGAAATTATGTACTTATAAAGAGGTTATTAAATGTATCTTATAGCTTATTTTGAATGTGTGGTGAGAGATTATGTACTTATAAAGAGGCTATTCAATGTATATTATAGCTTACTTTGAATTCAAAGAAGACCGAGTGTTTTATATCAAATAACTCTGTATATCTCAATATGTATTTCTATTTCAGGGATGTTTGATAATGTTAGAGGAGTTTATCCGCTCGGAGAGTACGGTGTTATTGGGTATTGGATGTGGAATAGCAGGATTAGAGGTACGTTGATACGTATGATCAGTACGACTGCAACTAAAAGTCTTAATAATTGAATAGTTTACAATACGATATGGTGCTTTGTTTTGTCACGTGTTTAATTTCTTCCCTCTGTTTTCATCTAGCCTTTAATCAAACTCCTAACTAGGCACAAGTTCACATACCATAATCCATACTAAGCACAAGTTCCCATGCCATAATCCATACTAAGCACAAGTTCACATACCATAATCCATACTAAGCACAAGTTCCCATGCCATAATCCATACTAAGCACAAGTTCCCATGCCATAATCCATACTAAGCACAAGTTCCCATGCCATAATCCATACTAAGCACAAGTTCCCATGCCATAATCCATACTAAGCACAAGTTCCCATACCATAATCCATACTAAGCACAAGTTCACATATGTAAGTAGAAGTTATTCTTCATTTAGTTTTTGAGATCAAAATATCTTCGAACCAGTTTTAAGCAGGCCTATAATCCCTTCAAAACGTTTATGATATCTCTCAACCAATCATAGAAAACCTTTCCCTCTTTATTTTAAGTAAGTCTATAATCCACCCAGGAGATCTATTTGTAACTTACTTTGCTCACATCTCTCAACCAATCATAGAAAACCTTTCCCTCTTTATTTTAAGTAAGTCTATAATCCACCCAGGAGATCTATTTGTAACTTACTTTGCTCACATCTCTCAACCACTTGAAGAAGACATACCTTACTTCATTTTAAACAGGTCTATAATCAACTCAGAGAAGACTCTTTGTAACTTATCTTATCATGGCTCTGAATCTCTCAGAGAAAACGTTTTCTATTGCATTTTATACAATATTATATCATACTTTGAGTAGGTCTAGAATTCACTTTTAAATAATTTATTAAGTAAATATTTTTTCAAGCATTTTTTTTTATATTATAGCAAAAAGACCTGCCATTCACGCTAAATTGTTACATTTCCAAATTTATGTTTACTAGTAAGGCTTAGAAGTGTAAAAGAGAACTATTTCTACCACCACATTGTAACTTTAGTGTTAATGCTAACATATATATTACGTTTACCTTCTAATAAATTTCAACCATTTAGGCATACATCAGGCTATACACTTATTAAGTGTTTTGAGAAATTTCTTTTTGGTTTTCTTTAGCCGCTAGGATACAGTATTTCTAAATAATTCGAAAAGAAATTGTTCTTTTATGATTGTTGATCGTTTTTAGAGGGCAATAAATGATAAAGAGGTGAAAGATTATCACTAACTTTTCATTTTCATGTAAACTTTTTGTAGATTATAGGATACGGAAAAAATTTCTATTTTCTTTTAATTATACACATTACACAACTTTGGATAATAATTCCGTAAAAGAGTTATCATATTAAGACATATAAACTCGCATATGTAAGCCTTCCAATTGTTCAGAGGTAAGCTTGAAAGATTACACACAGAAAATCGGATTTTGATATCCTTGGTGGACCCAAGACATATAAACTCGCATAAGTAAGCCTTCCAATTGTTCAGAGGTAAGCTTGAAAGATTACATGCAGAAAATCGGATTCTGATATCCTTGGTGGACCCAAGACATATAAACTCGCATAAGTAAGCCTTCCAATTGTTCAGAGGTAAGCTTGAAAGATTACACGCAGAAAATCGGATTCTGATATCCTTGGTGGACCCAGTACAGTTAGCCCATAGTGTAGCTTTGCGCTTAAATACAAGTAAACAAACAAACACATAGGTAAAAAAAAACACATACGACGACCTATAGTTTCGAACAAAGTTGTCGTTGTTGGGCTATCCATGCTTTATTCGAGCAATGTCATTCTCATCATTTCATATTTAAATACTTAAGTATTTTACATTTCTCATATGTTGTACATCAGTTACCATATCTAATAAACTCCTTGATTACCAACATGAATACATTATCTACCCACAGTCTTTGTATTAGATCACTTTAATTATTGTCCCACTGACATGGGTGTATTTTGACACAGTGCCTTATAATAATAGTTTTGAAATATTAATCAAATCATTTCTTTCACACATCGACCTGGCATTACCTGTTGGTTAGGAGGACACTCTATTCGCAATCTGCAGGTCACTGGATCGAAATCGGACTATGAGCATGCTCGCCCTTTCAGCCGGGGGAGGGGTTATAATGTTACGGTCAGTCTCACTATTCGTTAGTAAAGAACAGACCAAGAACTGACAGTAGATGGTGCTGCCGGTTACCTTCCTTCCCTAAGGTAGGTAGTTCAAAATTAGGGACAGCGGCAGATAGCCTCTGTAGCTTTAGCTTAAACAATACAAGCAAATGTTTAAGCATCACATATGCATTACTTTGAAATAGTCAAGAAAGCATTACATAAATCATGTCTACCGCATACGCCAGATTGATATTCTTAATTTTGTACACGCGAAAGCGGACTCTGAAATCATTGTTGCCCGGTCAGCAACCTTATAGGACGAGCATGTTCGGAGAGCACCCTAACCAACAGGCTTCCTTTAAAAGATAACACTCACAAAAACTCCAAGCTTTATATCTTTTAAAAATCTTATTACTGTATTTTTTAAACTAGAGGGCAATTTATGTTAAAATATTTAGTATATCGTAAAGAGGTGCATCATATGTCTTAATTTTACATTTGCGTTCAACAAGAGTTTTATGTGTAATTTGCATGAAATATAACTTGCAGTAAAATCCAGTAAAAAAAAAAGAATGTTGTGTAAAGTATCTTCAAGTAATTACCAGCATATTTATATATACACACACACAAAGATCTGTTTCGAGAATTTTAAAAATCACCAACAATGCTATACTTTGAAGATGTGCATAAATGCGCTTTACATGTTTTCCCCCAATCAAATTATAAGGATATTATAAAGTATGCCTTCTAATTGTAAATAAAGTTTTACACTTAAAATCAGTTGGGCTTTTACAAAGTTAAAGTACTATTTAACATTGCTTTTTTGGAGCACAAAATATAGAAAATTTGAAATTTTGTCATCGGCCTTTGTTTCTATATATTTTGGTGTATTAAGGGCCTAAGAAAATCTCAAGACTATTAATTCAACTTGCATTTTCTAAGCCCCATAGGTGTTACATCAAATATGGAGATTGATTTGGTAAGCATAGCTAAAATGTTGAACTTCAAAGATACAAGCAAGTTTGTACTTAGATGGGACAGGCTTCCAAAACGTAAAACTCAGTATGGTACGAAAACTATTGGTTCTTTTAAAGAGGAAATGAAAGCATTTCGTGATCGTGATGTGGTTGGTAAGTCGCACAAACTATCAGCTGAACAGATGCTCACGCAGTTAGAGGAAGATCTTTCACATGAGTACAAACTTCCATCAGTTTCTGAGATAAAGAGCTACGTGATCCAACTGTTTGCTAAGCAAAAGCAGCAGTAGTAAACACCTTTGATCAAATGTCAGGAAATCATTGCACAGCTAGGTGAAAACGTAATGAACAATGCAGGGCAGGATGGAGAAGATTTTGCTAGTGATATGGAACATAATGAAACTGAGACCAGTAATATGGCAAAAACAAAAACATGGACGTTTACACTGGCAACACCTTACTTTAAAATGAAGCTTTCGCTAGTAATAACACAACCTGATTGTCAATACCAAAAACTGAACGTCAAGGTGTGGCTAAGAAAAACTTTGACGTTTTAGAAACAGTCATTTGGTTGAAAGCACATCCACCTAACACTGATGAACCGTTTCTAACAGACCAATAAATTCGACCCAATGTGTCATTGCTTGATAGAGCGTACATAAGACGATTGGCAAACATGTGTGGATGTATGATGCATATTTCGTATACTTATTTCATCAATACAGTTTCTCTGTTATGAAACTATGGTAGTTAATAAACTTCCCATACATTTTGGTGCTAAGTACATAATTTATATTTGTTTTTATCTAAGTTAATAAAAATATGAATATTTGAACACAAGACAACATTCATATATATATATTCTAAACACTTAACTTACTTCTTTGTCTAGCACCTTCTGCACATGGATAGTGTTCTGAAAAGGTATTAACGTATTAGCAAAAGTCCAATGTTTGGAGGGCGATGTGTGCAAAATTTACATAAGAAATTTCCTTCATATATTCATATATTTTATACATAGACTTAAATCAAATAGGGTAGTAAATCAGTTTTCAAAAGTCAATCAAAACATGTAAAACAAAGGTGCCTTTTCTCACGAATCGGCTTTTAAAAACAATTAAATTAAACTTGTTTTGTTTTTCTTATTATATTTTCAAAGAAAACTGTCATGGTCGAGTGACTAATAAAAAGAACAAAGGCACTACCATGTGGAAAAAGTTATCTGGAAATATATTTACAGTGTACTCGAAATGGACATTACATACCTGTTAAATATTTTTTTTGTATAAAAAATTATAAGTAAGGTAAAATACATCTTGAGACATGAGTATAGTTCACAAAGCGTTGATTTTATTCATTAAACGTCATTTTCATTTTCATATACAGGGTGTTCATAAATTATTGAACTGCTTTATTAATTGAATAGAATAAGAACTACATAAGTTAAACAACTACGTTGTAATGAGGGCTAACACCTCAGGTTTATAGATGGCCAATGGTGTTGTTAGTACTCTTCGACATACACCATTCGTGGCTCTAAGGATGTCCAGGCGATAGTCGATCTCTGCCCATGTGCGTGCCAGCATCTCCGAAGTAATCGTTGTAATTGCATTGGTTATTCGAGTACACAACGTTTCCATATAAGGTACATTTTTCTTATAGACAATGTCCTTCACATACCCGTATTGGAAAAACACTTCAGACATCAATCTCTCACACACCGTGAACAGCTACTGTTTATCTAGTTTGGTACCTTTTCTATTCTGGTGGTTCAATAATTAATTACTGTATATTGCTATTTGTCACATTTTTTAAATGTATTTTGGCAATATAAGAATGGGGTTATATTCTTATTTTCCTTTACTGATCTCGAACTTGTTTTTGTCTTATAATAACAGAGCATTAAACTTGTATTGTAGTTTTTATACAGTTTTAGTTGTTGTTTTATAAATGCAAAGCTACACAATAAGCTATTTCCACTCAATTCACAGTGGGGAATTGAATCCGGATTTTTAGCATTGTTATTCCGTAAACTTACCTCAAGTGACCATGAACTGTATTTAGCTCTACAACAATACAAAACTCTACGGTACACTTATTTCCAACTCTTTTAGAAACTGTATTATTTCAACATGAAGTTCTATTGTTCTGATATGTTTAAACCTTTTTCAAACTATATATCTGTACTGTTATAGTAATATAGTTACTGTTTAAGGCCGAAAATTCACGAAGGATTAGAAATCAGTTGGTTAAAGATTTTTGGTAAAAAATCATGTTAACCACAAATGTTTTGTTTTCCCCCTACATTCCTCTTGATTTGTCCATTGTGGATTCAAAATCAAAATACAGGTCTTAAATGCTATTTTGCACGCTTCTAATTTCAAATCCAAAATTTACAAACTAAAATGAAAGTGGGGGGGGGGGACAAAACATCTGCAGTTAATGGGATTTTTATCACAGATCTTAGACCTATTGATTTCTAGTACTTCGACAGCTTTCGGGGGTGTTACGACAGCGGAAGTCATGTGACCCTGGTAACACGTCGAAGGATCTTGACTTTTCCTGGCAACTCTAGTTTAATAAAGCGGAGATATAATTGCAGATAAATAGAGATAATCGAGTCAAGCGAGCAGTAGGCACCGTTAGTAAAGTGGGTGAATCGTTGTGAATTATAGTGTGTGTTTTGTTATCGAGATTGCAAACGTATTGACTGTGGAAATTCTGTGTATTGCAAAATTGTATCGAGAAAGAATAAATTAATTTTAATTAAGAAAGGACTTGTATCACTGAACTTTCTCGGAAAAAATTTATACTGGAAATTAACAAACGACCAGATACGCAACAGGGGTTTAAACTGTCACTATTATTGTTATTTTTAGGTCTCTCTGATATTATGTTATTGTAGATGTAGTATTATTAGTGCATAGCTACACAATGGGCTATCTGAACTCTATCCACCGTGGGGAATCGAGTCACAGATTTTAGCGTTATAATTTCGTAAACTTACCGCTGACCAATTCGAGGGATGTATTGTTGTAACGCAACTAATGCTGCTATTCTGTTTTCTTTAGGTCTTTCCGACCAATTCAAGGGATGTATTGTTGTAACGCAACTAATGCTGCTATTCTGTTTTCTTTAGGTCTTTCCGACCAATTCAAGGGATGTATTGTTGTAACGCAACTAATGCTGCTATTCTGTTTTCTTTAGGTCTTTCCGACCAATTCAAGGGATGTATTGTTGTAACGCAACAAATGCTGCTATTCTGTTTTCTTTAGGTCTTTCCGACCAATTCAAGGGATGTATTGTTGTAACGCAACTAATGCTGCTATTCTGTTTTCTTTAGGTCTTTCCGACCAATTCAAGGGATGTATTGTTGTAACGCAACTAATGCTGCTATTCTGTTTTCTTTAGGTCTTTCCGACCAATTCAAGGGATGTATTGTTGTAACGCAACAAATGCTGCTATTCTGTTTTCTTTAGGTCTTTCCGGATTGTAACACGATAGATAATATTGTTCTGCTGTGTCTTTATGAAATTGTATTATTGTAAAATTACATTTTTTGTTCTCCTGTATTGTGGTAAGATCAACCTGTCTTGAGTTTTATTGGAAAACGTAGCATTGTATGTAACATAAACATGAGTTATTATATTTCATTTATTTCAAAAGTTGTATTTGTGTTGTTTGTATATTATTCTTCACTGTTCTTTCCTTGATCATAGTAGATGATATTATTTTAAGGTAACCATTTAATGATATTTATACAACTTTGCTTTCTAAAAGCAAATCATTTCTTGACCGTAAGCTGTTATTTTTTCTCAGCTTCTGTTATTGTAATACAGTACTGGCCAAAATGTTTGCATACTATTCTATACTGATGTTATTGTCTACATACACGGAGTAGTTATTGAGTGTTACGTATTAGAATTTCAAATGGTCTGAAACCGAGCTAAATGATACTTTAAATTTAGTAGTTAAATTATACTTTGGATTTAGTAATTAAGTGCAAGCCGATATATAGTCAGTTTATGATATTTGCCAAAAAGATTGATACACACAGTTTTCTTTTATACAAAT